CAAACCCCTTCCCAACACCAAGTCCTTGAATTCCAAACACCCCAACCCAAAATCCAAAAACCCCCAAAAAAGTTTTAAAAGTTTAACTTACCAAATGGCTGCAAAAGAAGTTTTGGAAAAGCTTCAAAAATCAGCAAAGTCTTCAAAAACCTCAAAAAAGGCTACCACACCGCGTGCTATGAGTTGCTCCTCGAAGTCAAGTCACAACTGCACCTCTTCAAGCAATGCACCCTGGGTTTTAATGGTTTTAAGAAAAAGGAAACAAACTTGCAAGACGTTTTCGTGTTGCGAAGCAAGCCCATAGGGAAATTCGTCTTGCGAAGCAGCTCGAAAAACGGAAAACCCTTTCGTCTAGCGAGTTTTTCGTCTTGTGAGGCATTCGTCTTGCGGGGCACCACTGTAATATATTTGCTTTGCATCTAACCTGCTACTTGAGTATTGTTTCATTTCTGCTTTTAGCTATGGCTAGTTCAATACCCCTTTGATTGAAAGGATACCAGGGTAATGTACCCAACCCCACAAAATGAGGCAGTGTCAGAGGAGGAATTTAAAGTTAAATCTCCAGATCGTCTGGTATGCTTGTTTTTAAAGGTATAAACTGACAAGGAGATTCTTGCCAATCGACTTATTGAGGAAGAAAAACTGTGCAGGCAATATTCTATTCAAAGTATTATAAAGCTTTTTTGGGGGGGGGGTTAACTGTTAGCACCACCTCCTTGCAAACCACAGCTTACTCTCACAGACTTGAGTAGAAGATATATGATTAAGAACTATAAGCTGCAGAAATAAATGGCATCAGCGTTCAATAGTGACCCTGCCTTCCCTATGAGGAACTTCTGCTTGTGTTTTAATAACCATCACAGTAGAAGATTCTGCTAGGGCTGCCATATGTCTGGATTTTTCCGGACAACTTTGGGGTTTGTCTAAAAAAAGGCTCAACAATTTGGGGGGTTTGCTATATTTTTTGAAATATGGCAACCCTAGACTCTGCTGGATCATGCCAAAGGCTCATCTAGTCCAGTATCCTGTTTCCACTGTAGCCAAACAAACACAAACTTCTTAAGAACAGGAATGCAAAACATCCTCACTTCTTTCACATCTAAAAGGCACACACAAACCCTACATTTCCAATCAAACACAAGTACTGAAAGTTGCAGCACACGGAAGCAACTCACCATTTCTCCTCCCAATCTCCTTTTCACATTCATATAAATACAAATGATTAAGTAAAAAATAGATGTTATAGAAATATGCTCACACTATCTGCCTACTGTGGATTATTGAATATTATTGAATATTAATTTGAAAAAGGAAGCTGCTCAAAGTGGTAGCCACACCCCTTTCCTGGCAGGATAGGAATGTGCTCTATGGTGTGGCCTTAAGAGAACAGCTGTGAGTATGCTTGGACTGCTCTTCACGGAAGAGAAATGTTCTCAACTGGGCTGGAAAGCTTTTTCTGCACAGAGACACAGGGGAGAGCCCTCTTTACTATAGGTATACTTCTAGACTAGAACTGGGTGTGTGTTGCAGACATCTGATTGTCGAGAGAACAGCAGATTGACAGAAATGTTTGCAGAGCTTCTCCGAATTCAAATAAAAGTATAAAATCTGTGTGGGACAGGATGGATGCATTGGACTTCCTCTTCTTAAAGTGGTTGTCCCATTAAAAGTTATTGCTGACCAACTGAGTACTCATTTGGAATCAGGATTATATTCTTCATTGCCTCGGAACACTGTATTTATTGAAAACAGTCCTGGAAAATCAGCAGAAATTCTGTGTTTGTTTTACATTCTCAGTGCTTATGAAACAAATTACTAATGATCTGCCAATTGTTGGATGTGTTTGCCATTTCATGCATTACTAAATGGACTAAATATTTCTCTGGAGAGCTGCAAATGCATCATAAGCTTCTCCTGGAAATTCAAAGAGATTAAAATACTGGGTTGCGTGTGATCCTCAGTTTAATTTGTCCATAGGCTTCTTTCTTCATATAATGATGAAGCGTAAACTGATGGTGCAGAGCAGAAAATTGTGTGCATGAAAGACAGTGGGAGAACTGAAGGTTTTCTCAGTATTCTGAAATAATTTGAAAAAGCACTGGCATTCACAGCTTTAAGAATGTAAGCAACGTTTTAAGGGGAATCAGTGACCATATTTAAGATGATTCTAGGCTCTGTTGTAATAGAATATAGGTACCTAGGAAACTGTCTTATACCAAGTCATGTCAGTGTCCATATAACATAGGGTTGTCTACACCAACTGGTAGCGGCTCTCCAGAGTTTCATAGAGAAGTCGTTCCAGCTCCACCAAGAGAAACCAAAGATTGAACCTGAAACTTTATGCATGCAAAGAAGGGGTCTAACATTGAGCTATGGCCCTTCCCCCAAACATGTGCTCTACCACTGAGCAATGGCTTTTGCCATGGTAAATACAGATTAAAATGTATTGAGCATTATCCAGCAAACTAGACTCAGCTAGTCACATGGCTAAGTTCCTGTAGAATGGAACTTATGGATAATGGCAAATTTTTGCAGAATTGACCCATTGGCTCCTGCAGTGATATTTATGACGGTGTACCACATAGGAATCCACTGGCGTGCATTTTTTCCAATTATGGGGTTTTGAATAACAACAACATCACTCAATTTCAGAGTAATCATAGTGTTAATATGTTCTCATCTTGAACCAGTTAATGCTGATTGCCAGCGGTGGAGCTTCATGCTCCGGCACTGGGGAGCAGAGATCAGGTGGGGGCGGGGGCTGGCGCGCCGCCCACAGGGGCGTGGCATGTGTCTTGGGGGTGTGGCGCTCCCAGCGTGGACGAGGGAGCAGCCGCGATGGCACCCCACCAGGATCATACTGCCAGGGACAGTGCGCTCCCCCCACACTCCTCTTCCTCCACCAGTGCTCATTGCCAAACTGTACAACTGGTGTCAATAACTAATTGATGAAAGAAATACATTTTAGCTGAAACTACTATAGCTATATCTACTTACTTTAAAAATGAATTATTGTGTGTATTCAGTGATAGTATCGGTATAACATGATCAAATCAATCTTTCCAGATTTAGAATTACGGTATATATTTAAAATGTATTTGCAATTCATTTTTTCTGAACTGCAGTGACTGAAGAGTCTCCCTTCCTCTCTACATTCATTTTTTTCCAGGAAGAGCCATATGTGATGTTCAAGAAGTCTGATAAACCTTTGTATGGGAATGATAGGTTTGAGGGATATTGCATCGACCTCCTCAGGGAACTATCAACTTTCCTTGGATTTACCTATGAGATACGGCTGGTGGAAGATGGAAAATACGGAGCCCGGGATGATGCCAGCGGACAGTGGAATGGAATGGTTCGTGAACTGATTGATCATGTAAGTTGCTACTTAAAAGTTTCATCATCACAAATGACCACATTTTCATTTTGTCTCAGTAGAGCTTGTCAGGAGACTTGTGGAAGCTCACCCCAAATAAAAAGTTGATATTTACTAGTATCCAATTGCCATTGAGTTGTTTAGTGAATATTATTTGCAATTTCAGATAAATTAGACAAAGGTAGCAGACTTATCCCCTCTCTCCCTAACCTCCTCTTCCATCAAGAGTAAGAATGATTAATTGGAAATAAAGTAAAGTATATTAATGGAAGAATATTTGGAAAATACTATTCTGGAATTCGCTACTTCGT